GTTTTCCCCATTAGGCCTCTCCACCTCTTGGGTGCATCTCACAGTGGACACACCCCCTGGCATCGAAGACATCCTGGCAGAGTATGCTGATGTTTTTGATGGTAAGCTAGGGGAGTACAAGGGTACCCCTATCTCCCTCAACCTAGACCCCCAGGTTGCCCCTATCTCCCTCAACCTAGACCCCCAGGTTGCCCCTATTAGGCTGAAGGCCCGCAGGGTGCCTTTTGCCTTGCGGCCCAAGGTGGATGCAGAACTTGACAAGCCTGGAACCTGTCGACCACTTGCGATGGGAGACCCCAATAGTGGTCCCTGTCAAGGCCTACGGGTCCATCAGGATCTGCGCTGACTACAAGTCCACCATCAACCTTGGTCTCCAGGCAAACCCCTATCCAGTCCCTGTGGTGCAGCACCTACTTTCCAAAGCATCCAAAGGCAAGACAAGGAACAATGGATGGAAACTGATCAAGGAGAGATTCAACCAAGAAATAAGGAGAAATGTCTGACAAGGAGAACAATTAACCAATGGAACAGCTTGCCTTCAGAAGTTGAGGATGCTTCATTACTGGAGGCTTTCAAGAAGAGACCTGACAGCCACTTTTCAGAAATGGTATAGGGCAGGGATGTTAAACTGGTAGGCCTGAGGGCCAGATGCATCACACGCAGACCACGCCCATCCCAGCTCTGTAAATGGGAAAGACGTGGCGAAACATCACAGTACAGCAAAGTGACACAGCGAGTTTGACACCCATGCTAAAAGGTCTCCTGCTTGAGCAGGGGGTTGGTCAAGGCCCTTCCAACTCTGTTATTCTGAATCTTATTGAAATAAAGGAACCGCTCGGATTACATTTCAGCTTCCCGCCCCCAACTAAATCCATTCAGTTAGGCAGCAGTGGAACCAACATAGCATACTACTTGTGATCCTTACTTGAAGACTCTATTTGGGATTGGTAATTCCAATGCTAGCACTCAAAAATAGGGAAATCAAGTGACCATCCCTGTGCTTTCCGGTTGAAAAGACTACCCACTTTCTCACTTTCAGCATCTGTTTGTCTTCTAGCCACTCCTTCGCCCTTTTGTATTTTGTATACACCAAAGCAATGCAACCAATCACAACTTGAGGCTAGGCACTGAGTGCACTATGCAAACAACATGCTTTCTTGAACTCTCTTTCTCTCCTCTCCAATTTCTCTGCTCTGCAGAGGAGGGGAAAAAAGCAAGCAATCTGTGTCGGCAATTTCTCCTTTGCCTGACCCTTATTCCCCACACTTCAGAGCAGAGAAACTGGAGAGGAATTTCAAGCGAGAAAACTGTTTGCTATTTTAAACATATCAAAAGAAAAAAATGACTTATGACCGTGTCCTTGCACTTATAACCATTGCAGCATCTCCACAGTTCTCTGATCAAAATTTTGGAAGCTTGGCAACCAGCATATCTTTCACAGAGTCACATGATCACAATTCTCAACCTTCATAGCCAGCTCCTGATGAGCAAAGTCAATGAGGGAAGCCAGCCTCACTTAATGATCATGTGATTGATTTAATGACCATTGCAAAAAAAAAAGGTTGTAAAATGAGGTATGTTTCATTTAATGATCACCTCCCTTAGCAATAGAAATTCTGGTCCGAATTGGGTTATAAACTGTTTGCTCCTATTTGAAATTGACTGGAAAGGAAAAGATTTCAAAACAAACCTGTAAGATTCTTGCATAATTTTCCCACAGATTCCAGCCCTGGGCTCTCCTGCAATCCCTTTCTTTCCAATAAATCTGCTCCCTGTGAAGGGAGAAAAAAGGGGGGAAAATGCAGGTCCGGCACAGGACAATATTATACTGACTGTAATGGTGATCACGTAATTAAGGTATAGTGCAAAGATTGTAAATGGCCCATAGAGTTATTTTTTTAGCACTATGGTAACTTCAAATGGTTTCTGAACAAATGGTCAGTAAATGAGGAATACCTGTGCTCATACTTACCAACACTTGTAAGTATGAGCTTCCTCGACTTACAACAATTCATTTAGTGACTGTTCAAAGTTACCACATCACTGAAAAAAGTGACTTATGATCATTTCCACATTTGTGTCCATTGCAGCATCCTTGTGGTCATGTGATTTACATTTGTATGCTTGACAACTGGTTCATATTTATGATGTTTGCAGTGTCCTGAGGTCATGTGATCACCTTTTGTGAACCCTTCTGACAAGCAAACTCAACAGCAAATCCATATTCACTTAACAACCATGTTACTAATTTATCAACTGCAGTGATTCATTTATCAAATGTGGCAAGAAAATTTGTAAAATGGGGCAAAACTCACTTAATAAATATCTCATTTAGCAATATACATTTTAGGCTCAATTGTGCTTTTAAGTCAAGGATTATCTATAGTCAAATGTCATTAAGAGGTCTAAAAGAACTAGAGAGTTTATGGGGTTGGAAATTCTGGGGCTACAAGCAATATTTGCTATGTCTTGTCTCTTCCCCCCCCCCCCTCTTTAGCCTACTGTCTCAAAGGCCTCCAACTAAGTCGTGGTATTCTTCATCATACAACCCTGCAAACAAACCATTATCACGAATTTTATGATAAATGTGTAGCAAAAATAAGAAAAAAAGTATAGTTTTTCTTTAATGAGAATAGTTGGAGAATTTCATCACAGTATTCTAAATTTTAATATTTCCCCAAAGAAAGCTACAAAAAAAATGTCTGCACCAATATTTTTCTTCTTGCACGTTCACACTTTGCTCACTGAAACACTGTAAGAGTAACGTTGGTGGTAAGAGACTCAATTTGTTTACACAGTAAATCTAAATTTGTTTCTAGTTATATGGTTGTTTCGCTGGCAGTTACATCATGAACATTAGAAGGAATTCATATTCTTAAAATATTATCACAATTGACAGTATCTGAACCAAATGTAAACAAAACTTTTAAAAAAAAAAACAACAAAAATGGTCTTGAAAAAAACTGCACACTGTAATGCTATCAACATTCACTCATAATACTAAATCAGGATCATTATTACACAAGCCTCTGCAAACCTAACCTTTTCTCTAACTTGCTATATCATGTCACAAATTTTGATAATTTATGTAACCATTCACTAAAATATATGTTAAACCAGGATTAGATATTATGTAAAGAGTTGCTAGAATCCATACTTTTATTTTTGCTACTCACAGAAGATTCAAATTATTTTTGAACTGTAAACACAAATGTGGGAACACAGCATTTATCACTAAATTGAATACCTGTTTCTCAGAGTGCAATTGATATGAACAACTATCTTGTCCGAAACCTAAATGCAATGTGGAAGTAGGACTTGATAATTGAAATAAGCCACTGTATCTGCTCCAAAATAGCTATTCACAAAGACAAGCCAATTACCGTACTATTCTCAACTTATTTCTAAATAAAATTAATTTGTAATTCTTCATGCATTCAAATATATTTATCTCCATGAAGCAAAAATATTTGAATGCATAAAGATCTCTGTTACCCTTCTCCGTTTTTCAACATCTCAAGACCACCACCCCAAAAAATATAGGTGATTCTCAGTTAACCACTCAGTCAGCAAACATAAACTTACAACATTGCTATATGTGGTACTTACAGTTGGTTCCTAAAGTTCCAGGGGTTACAGAACCCTACATTTGCATGACTGCAAAACAGACATTTGCCAGTTGGCCTGTATTTTTGACCATCCCAGTGTCCCATAGTCATATGATTACAATTTGAGACTCTCCCATAAGCAAAGACAATGAACGAAGCCAGCAAGAAATTAGAAGTTGCAATCACAAGAGGACCTCATTTAATGATTAAAGATGATTCACTTAATCATGGCAATGCTAGTGCTGGAATGTTCACTGCTAAGCACATAATGCTCTGCTTTATGACCATATATCTTGGCAATGGAAATAAATAAATAATACTGTTTGTGGTATTTTGTAATGAACAATTGAAAGCACAAAAAAATGGAAATCTGTAACTTTGCCTCTTTATGTGAGAATACGGACACCAACTCATTTTCTTACATGGTGATTAACAATAGATAAGGTTATAATGCCAAACATGATTACTGAATTTGGAGCTCTTTGTTTTTCTAAATAGATGTAAGATGAAATCAGTGCTTTCCAAACTTTTTCCTTCATTATCCACAACTGCTAATTTAAATGTCCTTTTTACCCAATGTAGGTAAAATAAATTTAAATGTCCCTGTTGTGATTGGGTAATGGGTTTGTGTGTCACTGTCTAAGATAAACCACTTTTACCAAATTTTGGGTAACTCAACGCTAAGTCACTTTATGAGGCTGCAGAACTTTTTTAAAAATGATTGAAAAATCAAAATAAAAAAATGCAAAGAAGAAAATACATGTAATAAACCAGTTCCATAAAAGAAAAAAAAAGACCTACCTGTAAGTTTAATTTTGGTCAAACGAGCCAAAATGTTAGGTAAAGTATCCACATTTAATTTTATTTCTTTCCAATCTTTTTCTTCTTTTGATGATGATTCTTCCACAGTTTTTGCAACAGTAGTAGCTGCCGTCAACTTCAGTGTTTCTTCATTCATCACTGGTTTCTCTGAGAAGGCAGGCAGAAGAGGTGAAATTGATTTCATCTCATGGACAATCATTGTCTCTTCACTTGAACGCTGTCCTTCCAGGCAAGGCGATACTGCTGATGCTGGCTTCAGCTTTGCTTGCTGTAAAAGTGCTTTCTTATGCTGCATTACATACTGGAAAAGAAAAAGGTTTTTTTTTTTGTAAAACAGCCATTTTAAATCACACTTTTCACTTTCTATATGCTTCTGAAAAAGTCATATTTTATTATTTAATTTATGTATTATAATTTCATGGAAGCTTTTTATCCCTAGTAACACATCCAGAAATATTTATCTTACAGCTATTTTATATTTTACAACACTAATGCAAGATTATTACTAAGAGTACCTTAAATTCTTGTTTCAGAGTTGAATGTTTCAACTTTAATACTCTGTGAATCATTAAACACCACCCATTTGGCTTACAGAAATATACAGAAAAGTAAAAGATGTTTTTCTAGCTACATTCTATACACCACACATGAATGCTACCTTAAATAAATTACAATTCTTCCTTGCTATACAAATCTAATCCCTGGATGATGTGACTGAAATATAACCCAAGGGCAACAACAATTTAATTCTACCCCAGTGCTACTTTTTCTTGGGATATTTAACGTATGTATTTTCATCTCTATTTGTAAATTCCAAATACTGAAGTGCCATCATATCCAAGTGGATATGAGCATAAAGAAAATGTGCAGGCAAAGACAGAAGAGGACAAACAGCAGCAAAGTGAATGGACTCAATTACAACGGTGATGGGCAAACTGAGGAAAGGCTTAAAAGGCCAGATGGTTCATTTATGTTGTTGCTAAGAGTTGACAATGACATAATGGCTCATAATTAATCAATCCAGAAATTGTATAGGTATAATCAATTCCAGCTTTTGAGGTGGTATGCAATGTTATATAAGCTTACTTTTCGCCTGAAGAAATTCAGCTGTTGAAATGTAACTCCCTTTATTTTGACAACTCTAAAGAAACATGCGAACTTGCATGGCATCTGTTGCATGATGTTTTTTCTTGGATGTGCTGCAAAAATTTTCCTGCAAAAGAGAATTATTCTTTAAAAAAACTTTTACAATAAATATCACAGAAACTATAGGTGTATATATCAAACATAATGCAGAATAAGTTCTGCCAAGCCATCCTATATGAACCACTGTACAACAAAATAAAATTAAAAACTTCTTTGCTGATCTCAGTTGCCTAAATAAAGTCAACAGGGATACCAATGCAAGAAAGGTAAGACTAGCATATATATTTCCCTTCTTCCATGAAACTATTCTGAAGACAGTTTACCTCACCAGCCCACATGCTTTCCAGCATCCATTTTTCTTCCTTCCCTTCTACCATTGACACAAGCCATTTATTTAATAGCATTGGTATATTATTTCTTCACAGTGCTATTCCCAGCAGTTTACCTAAAATAATATAAATAAAAACTATAAAACAATAAAATACAAATTGAAAAGCATATTAAATGGAAAAATATGCAATAGAAACCCTTTACTCATAGTACCTAATCTCAATGGCAACCATTATACACCAGATGCTCTCTCAAATAACACTGGTTTAATAGTTTTATCAAATACAAGCAAACTAGGAACCAACCTAACCTTGCATTGATCTTCACAATTTTTTCTCTTTACACCTCCTTCTGCCTTCTCTCAATTGTCAGAACTAATGCCCCAATGTATTATCTCAGCAGCCTATTTCTCCCTGATCTTTGCAGAATTTTCCCTTCTCTTGGCTGCTATTGTCTCCATCCTAGGGTGATATGTCCTAGTGTCCTGCCTGCCAGTATATTTCTTTCCCTACTTTTCCTCAGTTGTCACTGCCAATGTTTTTAGTGTTTTCTCCATTCCTAAACCACAACACTTGTGCAAGAATGGCTATGTTTTAGACTATAGCTGGACTGTTTCAATTTATATCAACCACACACTTCAATTCGGAGGTAAACCATTTCAAAAATAGTTGTTCTGTGCATGACATTTTGCATTTCCTAAAACCAAATTATATAGATCTTCAAATAGCAAGAGAAAAATGCACAAAAGAAATAAGATTTAAAAAAACAAAATTACATACAATTTACCAAATACAAAGGAAAATCATTTAGTATTTATTTTGAAAAAACCAAGCTAAGTTCTTTTACTAGTCCCATTGGCTACAAAATTGTTTACAATTAATCAAGCATTTGCTTAAAANTACTTGGTGAATTATCCAAGGCAGATATTTTTAAGTACAAAAAAGGGGAGTAGATATTATGGTAGACTCTTATACCATCTTTTAAGATGTAGTTGTCAGGGTATTTCATAAAGTGCTATTTCATAATTGAAAATTGCATGGTTCTAGTACTTGTTTGTCAGCCTAGTTTGCTTGGTTTGACAATATGTATATGCTTGTATAACCTATATAGACCTTTTCAAGGCTTAAAAAGTAAAAATATGCATTTTTACCATATAACATTCTAAAATTTCAGAAAGAATAATGGTTCTACCGAAAGCTTTTGATCTTAACAGGTTCTTCCTACTGATTGCCTTACATGAGAATAACATTTAGGCATTTCAAGCAGCTTCAGATAAATTGTTGCTTCTTTTCGAGTATGATTGATTTGAAAAAGACTCGTGTGTCCTTCCATCTTCATGTGCAAGCAACTCATATTTCAATTTCTACCAGCACACGCTCTGCATCTATTATTATATCTATATCTACTCCATATCCAGCTGCAGGACAGATCATTATGTAGAAAATCTATGAAGTTGCTAAGAACTAAGTGAGTTGGTGGCGCATAATCATCATAACCAATGATTCTTAGCCAGTCATTCATCCTTCTGCATATATTTCACCTGCTTTCGATAGGTGTTGAATGTATATCCATCTGTCTCTCCAAACATGCTTAAAGTTCAATTACAAACCTTTATCTGCATATACTCTATCCTTGCCTGCTTTTCGTCCAACTTCACTTACACTTTTTCTTCACATTTTATCCATATTTAACAATGAACTGAAAACATGAGTGGCTGCTAACACTTGATAAGGATATAAGTATCCTGTCACCATTATTTTTGCGATAGAAGGGCTTCAACAGCTGATCCACAAAAAAGATACCGAATGAACAATATACTACACAGTAATGATAATTACATCCTGTGTAATCTTTTTCCTATTTTCTGTTTCTCTCATTTGAATCTAATTGCTGTTTCACTTCTGTCAAATTTTCTGATTGTCTGAATATCAGAATTTTCAAGCTCTCTTCTCAACAGTATCAATTTTATTCTGGTTATCTCTGGATACAGAATGAATATCTTAAATCCATAGTACAGCATTAGTGATTTAAGGGACATTGTTAGAAAATTCAGATTTTTCAAAAATTCAGACAAAAAATATTTATTGAGGAAAGGAGGTTTCCATCCTACATTATATATGCATAGTTTCCATGTTAATAATAGATATCAGTCAGTAGAGCTGACTGGCTTATAATGGAAATATAATTCCCAAGTCATATAAATAGGCCTAGCAATGCAATTATTTTGCTGGTGCAGGGGTTCCATAAATAATCCTTTTATACTTATGAAGACAACCCAAGGTCAATTTAAGGAGAACTCCAATGTTTGCTTTACCTATTTCACTGAATGGAGATAATTTTATATTGGTGAAATTGTGTTATATATGATTTCATTACAAATGAATCAACACTAGAATAGGGTAGGATTCTCAGGATATTGAAAAACGTATTCACTCATTTTTATCAGTCTGACAAATGTCTTCACCTTATTACCCAAAGTTCTTTCTATTTAATATGTACAGTTTAGTTCTCTGCTTCCATACTACAGACTTCATGGCACAAAATACTGTTTTCTGATAAGGTTTGAAAATCTCCAGACCTTGTAGTTTAGCTTTGCACAGAGGGTTGAAACCTCCCTCACATCCCAGCTCTGCACTCTGAATGATTTAAGGTTTTTTGGGTGATGAGATCATGACAGTGTACTGATACCACCAAAAGTTCCAGAAAAATAATTAAGCCAGTCTTTTGACAAAGAAGAAAACAATACGTTTTTGGGGAAGTCTCTCAACTAGTAATCTGAATGAGACAAAACTAGCAGAAACTTGTTTCTTTCTTTAACGTTCTTTTCTTTTGATTCTCTGATTCTTTTGAGTGACCCCAAAATTAAAGGACATACTGACTATGTCAGGAAGTTTTGAGAGGTTAAGTTCCTATAAAATATAGCTTAATTGCCAGAATGACACTTCTAAAATGGGGGAAATCAATGGAACGCCAATAATATAATTTCAAATGTGTTGATAAGTATAGAAAATGAATTATCCATAAGTATTTTGCAATAAATATTTAAAAATTAAAAAATAGGATTTTGGATTTCAAAACATCATTTGAAGTCATTTACACCTATTATTAGGTATATGTTAACATTATCATTCTAGCTTCAGGTGGTTCACCGACAAAAGGGCGAACGACAAAACCGCGCCCAACTAAACTGCGTCGCTGATGTCATCAACAGGACGACAACAGCGCGGAGACAGAAGCGCGCTGTAAAAGTAACCCTAAACCTAAACTTAACCCTTAACCTAACCCTAAACCTAACCCTTAACCTAAACCTAACCCTAAAGCTAACCCTTATCTTAAGTTAAATTGGCTTTCTTTCGACGCGCTATTGTAAAGCGCCCTTCTTCCTCCGCGCTGGCTGTTGTTGCTGCGTTGATGATGTCAGCGATGTGGTTTAGTCGGGTGCGGTTTTGACGTTTGCTCTTTTGTCGGGTCACGGCTTCAGGTAGATTCAGACCCAGATTCCCCCATGGTCACGGACCCATTAATGTCTAAAGACAGCTTAACCTTCATAAGATTGTTGTCCATGAATGAGTGACATGAGAAGAACAATCAGTACTACCTACATCTCTTCAGATAAAGGGATCATGGGATAAATATGTAATGTATACTGCAGAATAGTCAATGCAAAAATTAGATTATCTTGCAAGAGACAGAAATGAAGAAAACTCTACACATAGCCACAATAATGAAGTCCAATGCAGAATTATTAACTAACAGACTGGAAGCCTAGAAATTGACTAAATTTGAAAGGAGGATCTTCTCAGGTAAAAAGCTGTGGAAAATGCTGAGGAAAATCAAAAGATTATCAAGATCAATAAAAAGAAATCTAACACAATCTTCTGAATGTATCTCCAACAGACTGCAGTCCTAACCAATCTCTGCCTACTTGGAAATAAATTCCAATTAACTCATTATTCCAAGATAAAGTTTATAGATATTTGTAGTCCGCATCTAGAAAAGGTAGTGTTGAGTGTTTTCTTTAAAAAAAAGACTTAAAAATTTTGAGGGAAATAAAATAGAGTAAACTGAAATCATTCGAAACAACCCAATTTCTTCTGCTTTAACTCAATTTTAATTACAAGACAATTAGAAGTGAATCTAAAGATTTGTGTTCATAGAAACTTAGAAAATTATAAGCTTTAAAGTGAAGACTTCAAGAAGTAACTAATATTACCAAACCTGAGAAGAAATTCTACCTGTACTTAGATGTTTTTAGTGGCTTTTTCATTGTAATTACCAAATAAATCAGGGTAAAAAAAATAACTGAATGGATCCCATACAAAAGAATATTCTGGGGAGAAATGCAATGGATAATATGAAGAAAGGTTTCTGAAAATTGTTTTCTTAATAAATAGCCCTTGCCACCATTAGGGTGACATAAAATTAGTAGAGCTATGCAACTCAGAAGCATTAAAGCAGACTTTCAAGGCAACTTCAAGTCATATGAAAGAGATCCAAGAGCAGCTTCAAATGTAATAGCCACAAAAAACAATACAACTGCTATAACTATTCAAAAAAAGGGGTGTTTCATATCCACTCCCACACATTCCTTAACACCTCTTTCAAAAGTCTTAAAAACAGCATAAATCAGAATAGGAATAGTGTTTACATTCTGGTATCACCATTTTGAGCCAAACAACTCCCACTGAAGGCTCCATTTTTAAGGCTGTTTCCTTAGGGTAGTTTTCTTCATCAACCACTTGTTAACACACTACACCATTCATTTAAAAAA